ACAGTGTTAAATTCCTCATCACACACACTGAGAGGAGGAGGAGGATTCCTGGAGTCGGGCTTTCTAATAAAGTTTTTTCTCTGAAGTTAAGAGCGGCCTCTGTCACAGCGACTCGTTCCTCGCTATGTTTGATTATGTCAGACCTGACTGCTGAGCGGCTGAGAGCCTGGGAAGCTCCTCAGGTCTGATGAAGAGTCACGTTTCCACTCAAACACGCAGCTTTTATTCTCGTTTCTGATGGCGAGCGGTTATAAAGACGGCTCGCTGTCACCTTAGCAACACTGAGGATTAAAAGGACTCAGAAAGGCGTTCGTCCTCACTGAGATGAAGACGTGCTTCCAGTTTCTGAAGCCTGAGGAGTTCGTGTGATTGCTGATGCAGCAGGACTCAGTGACTGGGATCAACAACGACTAAAAACATCAGATAGATCGTGCTGTGTAATCGTGCTGCTTCCTGTTTACCTTTGACCTCCTCGCCCAGCCTGCCGTGGTGGTTCTGCTTCTCCTCCGGAGCTCCCTGCTCCTCCTGACGCTGCTCCTCAGAGTCCAGCCTGAGCTCCAGCTCGGCCAGCCTGCTGTGGAGCTCCAGGTCGAGGCCCAACCCGGAGCCGCCCGACTGGCCCGCGAACGTCTCGCCTGACAGGAAGCTAGCGTCCGTGACCAGGGGCGAGCACGGCGGAGACAGCGAGGAGAGAGACGAGCGCGGGGATAAGGAGTTCATCGAGCGTGGGGTTTCTGACAGTTTGAGGGCCTGGATCCTGGAAGGCTCCGCCCCCACGGCGGCCCCTGTGCCTCCTCCAGCGTCTCCTCCGGTGCCTCCCGACTTGCTCTGGGGTCTCCCGGCGTCTTTCGTGCCGCTGCCGGTCACCACCTCGTGCTCGTGTATGGTGGTGATGGAGCTGGAGGGCCGGTACCCTCCCTGGACGCCCTCCTGCAGGAGGCTGTCCAGCTTGTTCTGGAAGTCCGGGTCGGCCAGCTCCGGCTGCTCCAGGTAGATGTCGGTGAAGCTGAGGGAGGAGGTGGAGCCGAGGCTGGAGGTGGTGGCCAGCGAGCCGCGGCTGGAGGTCAGAGAGCCTCGACTGCTGCCGGACGAACAGGAGAGGGTGCTGGCCGACAGGCTGAGGAGGAAGAGGGAGGAAGTTAACCACAGACATGATGACGCGTGAGTCGGCCGATCGGTGCAATCGTGTCGACGTTGGAGCGCAAGTCTGTTCACCTGCACCTAGAAACACAAGTCTGTATCTGCGGCGCGATGTCACAAACGTCAAACCGCTGCTCGGCTTCATTACACGTACTAAAGAAAGAATCAGCTGATCAAAACCAGCTGACTACGATCACGGCGTAAACGTGCTGAGCTCAACTGCTGTCCAATCATTTCTCTGGAAAACTGCTCTGGGTCTAACATCCTGGTCTCTTCCTGTCGAGCGTCAGCAACAAACTGATTCCCAAAAGCTTTTTTCCTGTTTTATAGTTTGTTTTTCACGATGCTATGACCTTGACCTTTGACCTCACTGTGAAATTGAACACCTCAGTTTATATTTATAACATCTGATTTCACCTCTGAGTTAAACGGGATCAAAAACTGACCCAAAAAAGCTGAAACGTGATTTCAAAAACATATTTAAAGCGTCTTTGTTGACGTTTGTTTGTTTTGCTTCTTTTCTTTGAATAACTGAAACGACTGTTGACAATAAAACTCCTTTTTTGACTTCTTCATCATAAAAGTCGTCCTCGTCTCTCCACCTCGGCCTCTGGACGACGAGCTAATTAAAGCGTGACGGCTCGTTGACACGGACGCGGCGCACTTCCTGTCCTGTTACATCCACCAAACTCGGGAGGAGACTGAGAAGCCGACAACGCTCAACTCGTGGTGTTGAGCTTCTTACGGCACTGATTTTAAAAAGAGCAGAATAACAACACAAATGTTCGGCCGCTAAAGGTAGAATATTTCCATCTGTCGACCGCTGAGAGCGAGCAGAGAGAAATCTGTCCCACTAACGAGAAATGAACCACGACACAAACATTTAACAAAAACACTCCACTGAACTATCCACATCATTTTTATGCATCCTTATTTCTACTTTGTCTTTTTATAAATAAGGTAAAATCAGTGACACAGAGCACTGAGTCCGTTTTACGTTCCCTTATTTAACGCACTTTTATGTATTTCCTGTTATTTCTGCCCATTTGGTTTAACATATCCAAAGCCTGACTTCTGTCTTGAACTTTTATTTTGAAAAAAAACTGTGGAAACTGAAACTTCAGCCTCACTTCTGCAGATTCTTCCATCATTCTCTGAGTTATCGTAAACTTTAAAGACGTGTTGATTATCTTTAATGAGCTCAACGAGAAGCACGAACCTCTTGAGCTGCGTGTGCAGCATGGTGGCGAGGCGAACGTTCTCCTCCAGCTCTCTGACCAGCTTGTTCCTCTTGCAGTGAAGACGAAGCCTGAAAC